GGGAGAGAGAGAGAGAGACAGAGAGAAGAGAGACAGACAGACCAGAGAGAGGAAGAGAGAAGCAGACGAGACGAGAGAGAGAGACACAGACAGACAGACAGACAGACAGAAGACAGCAGACAGACAGGAGAGAGAGGGGGAGAGACAGAGAGAGACAGACAAGAGTGAACAGCGCACAGACAGAGGACAGAGAGAGAGACAGAGAGGGACCAGACAGAGAGAGAGACAGACAGAGAGACAGAGAGAGACAGACAGACAGGCTCGCTCCAGGAAGAGTCATCAGGGTTCCCTGCTATGTTTCGTTAATTAAAGCGTGCGTGCTTCCAGTAATGATTAAAAAGAGGCAAACCCAAAAAAAAAACTCTCCCTCTCTGTCTGTCTCTCTGCCAGCGTCGAGCCTTCAGCAGCTTCGAGGAGAACTCCGGGGTGTCCGTGTTTTAAGCCGCGGTGTCTTCAGTCGGATTGTGACGTTTCCTGGAAGGAAGAGAGTTAGGAAAAGCTTTAGAGGAGCAGTTCAGGCAATCTTTATTTTCACCGTTTTAAGAGAAGATGGAATGTTTTCGTCTGAGCGATTAGGTCTGGTAAGCTTTTCTAACTGTAAACAGCAATCAATATCTGTGAGCAGTCCCTCCCTAATCTGTTTTACAGGAAATGCTTAAATAGAAGAAAGAAACAGTTTCCAGGGACTTTAAAATGAACCCTGAACGTGTTTCCTGTTAGTGTTTCGTGGCATTTTAAGCTTAAACTACTAGAAGGCCCTCGAGTCCGGCTGGTAAACAGGCTGCAGACTCCGGCCTTCGTCCTGCCATCAAGGGCCGGGTCCTGTATCATCCTGCAGCAGCCGTGGATCCGTGTGACGGCTCCTTATTACCGAACAGCAAACAGTCATTTCCAGAGACTCACAGGAAAGTGCTGATGTAGCGGGGCCGGCGGGCAGAGGGAGCAGAAAGGCTGCGATGAATTAACCCGTGTTGACTGCCACGCTGCTGCTGCTGCTCTCTCTGAAACACTCTGTCATCTCTCTTCACACAGCAACAGTGTGTAACGTGAAGAAGGAGCAGCAGTAAATCTGTTTTTATTCCTCCGAGGAAGATCATAACTCACTTTCTACAGAAAACGCTAAATCAGGACATAACACGCACGCTTATTAAAGGCCCGGCACACCAGAATATTAAATCTTTTACATTAGATTTGCATCTGTTTTACCTCTCACTGTTGTTTTGGACATTACTGTAACGTATCATCAGCCTTTTAACTACACAAACCGCCTCTATTCTTTTAAATATTTTAGCTGCAACCTATTAAAACGAGCTCCTGCCGTCGCACAGTTTTATGGGTCACAGTTCAGCAGACATGAAATGGAAAGTGAGTCACATTTTCGTCTGTGTTTCACGCATACGATGATTTAAAAGTGTTGTTTGTTCTTGAAATAGCCTAAAAAAAGCTTTGAAAAGACGTCTGGGTGGATTATTCAGCTCTCTCTGCAGTAGGTTACAGTT